CTAAATCCAGATTTCTGACATTCTTGATGGTATTTGTGAATATAATATTCACAAATACAATGAACCATCAAGATATACAAGACTGATAAGATATTAATTGATAGTTAACTATAGTAATTCTAAAAGTATATCAAGAATTGTTAAGAGATTATTGATAACAGGCTAATAATTGGTTCAATAGGCATACATTATTGCTGTTAAGAAAAAGCAAATGCGAGAATGATTAAGAATGTGAAAAATTTTAAAATTTAATACAAATATAAACGCCAACAGAAACCTGATACAGTTTTTACAGTTTTACTTTATTTACGATTATTTATAGCAGTGTGAGTGTTTATTTAAAATTTAATATTCAATAAAAATAATTATCTGTATTTATATATCCTTAACTGGTATTTTCCAGTAACAGGAACAATTTAGAAAACAGTACTCCAGAAAAATGTAATTAAATTGACTATATAAAAGACTAGCAAAGAATGCCCAGAATTGCCCGGGAACTAAGGAAGGGGGTTAAGTTATCCTCTTTTTAAAGCAGCATATGTTTCCTGTAGGGTGGCAGAGAGTAACTATGCAAAATCTGATGCAAATCAGTTAAAGAGTTTGGCAGTTTGTGGGGGATGAAATCAGGGAAAATAGTGAGGATCCAAGTTTGAAAGTAGCTTATATTTTTTGGAGGACTGTAGAGTTTAACTATGCAAAATTTGTCTGGATCAGTCAAAAGGTTTAGGAGTTTGGGGGTAGGGAAAGAAATCAGAGAGAAGGAGTGAAAGGTCCAAGTTATGATAGTCCATGTTTCCTGTAGAGTACCAGAGAATAACTATGTGGAATTTGGTCTAGATTGATCAAAGGGTTTAAGAGTTTGTAGGGAGGACGGAATCAACAGGAAAGAGTGAGGGGTCTGAGTTTTAAGGTACTATAAGTATATCAAGAAATAATAAGCTTTCCAATCATTCCTTAACATGGATGTCTTTTGTGACAATTGCAACTTTCTTTCGGGAATTTTATCATCAATAAGGTTCATTTGGGTAAGATTTCAGATGTGAATAACAGTGTTGGGACCTTAAGAGAGTTGTAAAGCATGCCCATAGGAACAAAAAAGTTAAAAGGAACCATACCTCTATATGTGAATCTTTGCAAGATACAGCCTGCCAAAATCAGCCTGTTTCCAGGCTCTGTACTGTAAACTCCACTAAGCCTATCGTGTGTTTAACAGATAGTCTAGCAAGGTGGTCAGACATTCTAATGATATTTATTGGTAAAGAATAAAGAAAAGTCTGACATGTGACTCTTTGCGAGATATTTACCTCCAAATATAGAACTCCAATGGTGGCAGTTACAGTTGCCATCTTGTATGCATATGTTATGTTTGAAAGTGAGTTATTTTTAGGTATGGCAACCAGTGTCTTTAACATAAATAATAAATGCAATATCTTCTACTGACCAAAAACAGTTTTTATCTTGAACCAGTATTACTGCCTTTCTCCATGCTCTGCATCAGTCAAGGTGAGTGAGAGTGAACTTTGTCTGATGCAGAGCATGTAGTCATGTGCTTTGTTGCTTACACCTCAGCACCACATAAGGGCATGACCCCACCCCTTATGTGAAAATAATTCTTTAAATATATTTCAAATTAAGTTATTAATCGGTGAAAGTGGAAAGGGTTTAATTTTTCCAACACCACCTTTAAATGGTATCTGTGAAAAAATGTTCTAATTTAGATGAATTAAATATTTTCAATTTAAAAGATAAGAAAGATGGGTGAAGGAAGGAAGAAGAGTGATTTGAGGAAAAGTTAAAAGGAGAACATGAGCCACAAAGGGGGACTGTTGGAAAAGACTAGGAAATACAATGGTATACACGTGCAGAACAATTTGTATTTATGGGGAAGGAGAAGGCTCACAGCATAATACCTTGAGGAGTTGGACAGATGAGGCCGTCTTGGGAGGAAAAAAGGGCAGACTGAGAAGCAGTAGTAAGGAATCCCTTTTGAGGGAGGGGTCACTGTTGACTCAGAAGATGAGCTGTCACTTGATTAGATGCCACTTGGGCTGGTAGTGGTATAGGGTAGTTGTAGTGTGTTAGTTTCAGGTGTTCCACAAAGGTCTTGAATTCTTGATAGATTATCTGGTCCTCTATAAAGGTGTATAGTTCACAGGGCCAAGGATACCCATGTTCCACAATAGTCCTATAAAGGTTTGCACGGTGGTGCAAGTCAACCGGGCAGATGAAGATTAGGTGTATTGTATCTTCGTTCTTGTTAGTATCACAGAGGCAGAAACTATTCCCCTACTTCAAGAACCTATAGAGGTAAACTCTGAAGTTGCTGTGTGCTGTTAGAATCTGGGTCATGACGTGATTGGTAGTAAAATGGTGGTTGCTGATCCTATGCTGGGGAAAAGGTTGTGGGTGAGACGTCCTGTCAAGCTTTCATCCCACTCCTTCTGCCAGCAAGACGTTAGAATTGAGTTCTGCTTACCTTGAACCCAGGACAGGGGGATTGAGGAGTAGCTACACACCGTGTATAAAAAGGAAGCCTTTTTGGCCAGATTGTCCGCCTTGTCATTGCCACTGCTTCCTGAGTGGTTCTTGAGCCAGTAAAATTTTATATTGACTGTATCCGAGATTTCGTATAGGATCTTTAAGCTATTGTTGATTATGGGAGGGCAGCAGTTACGCTTACGAATCTGGTAAAGGGCAACTCGACTGTCGCTGATGATGATGATGTTTTTACCATTATAACTGGTTATATTATCCTGGATACATCTGAGGGTGTTAAGAATGGCTAGTGACTCAGCTTGGTTAATGGAGCAAGATGGATCCAGCCTATAGCACCTTGCCAGAAGGTTTTCTTCATTGGGTCATCGAGGATAATAGCCACACCTACTGCACCTGGAGATTTGGGTCCATCGGTGTAGTAGTTTATACCTTGTGGGATGGTGGATTGATGGAGGCAGATGTTGGAGTCTGCGTCATTGGCAGGATGATGGGTATGCAAGTCATAGTTAATGTCCAGTTCACGGTCCAGGAGGAATTTCCCTAGGACACTTATGTCTGCAGGCAGTTTAAACTTTTTAATTAGAGACTGCAAATGATCCATGCCAATTTCTGATGTGGCTAGTTGCTTTAGCTTGTGAAACAGGTATTTATTCAGGATGACCCAATGGATGGGGATCATCCCTGCTATGATGAGGAAGGTATCAGTGGATGCAGTCCTATAGGATCCTATACATCCGCAAAAAGCTCCTCTCTGCACAGCGCACTGCAGCAGTTGATGGCAACTGCTGCAGTGCGCTGTGCAGAGAGGAGCTTTTTGCGGATATGCACCTTCTGAACAGCACACCCCACACCTCACATGCGTATTGAGGATAGGTTCAATAGCNGCTGTGGGTAGACAGGTAGTGATAAATAGAATAAGTTTTTTTTTACATTTATTACCTTTAAAATACAATTCTAATAATAATGAAAATAGCATAAGGTTATTTAATTTTAATGTGACAAATGTGCACAATTTTCTTTGCACAACTTTGTAAAATCCGGTTGCTTTTTGGTCAGCTTCAGTCTCAAGTCATCTTCGAGTTGAAGTCGGTGACGATGTTTAGTTTTCATGTTTGTCATGGCCAAAAAACCGCTCTCGCAGAGGTATTTTGTGCAAAATGGTAGTAAATATTTTATTGCCGCTTCGCTAACATTACAATAATGATAATTGTACAATTAACACAAATTGTGTTAATTGTACAATTACAAACACGTTTGTGTTTGTAGAATTGTACAAACACGCGGATTATCACGCGTTATCCCTAACTTGCGAGTAAAAGGAGCGAAGGAAATTTAAATGAGAATGAGTATGAATAGCCAATATTAACCAAACCATTTTTATATAACAAATCAAAATATATAATGAAACAAAATATTAAAACTATACAAAAGAATGAATCAATACCTAACCTAAATACTACTTAAAACTGTTCTTATTTCTAAACCTGACGCAAGAGAGAGTTCACAACAATCTATCTGAGTTCATATTACATTCTTCTTTAGGTCTTTCGTATCTTTTTCTGTATCTATATGAGGTTCTTCTTCCTTTCTTGATTATCTCTCTTCTTATAATTTCTATGGACAGTTCTTTTAAATCTTCTCTATTAATAATCTTTTATACTTCGAATGTAGTACTCTATAACGATGTTTTTAGGACTTCTTTTTGGATTCGTAAATCAGCTTTGTATGACGATACCTTTCTTCGTATGGGAAACTTCTTTTCAATGGACTGCCTCTATCGTATGGCTAGCTCTCTTCATGTGCCAAACACATGCCGCATTCATCATCATTGTTTATGAGATATTTAATAAAACTGTAGGTGGGTGATAAAACGACAAATAACACAATTTGTGTTAATTGTACAATTTTTGTTTCTTGCGTAAGAATTTCATTTAGGTATTGTCACAAATGCATTTTTTGATGAAATTTTGAAAATATTTTTAGTTATAAATAAACGAATTTGTGCATTCGACATCGTGTTGTAAATTGCCGAATTTTTGATGGTCCACCCATTATTTTTTTGATTGCTTCATCTCATGCATTTAAATTTTAAATCGACCAATTTTAGATTGCTGCGCGTACCCCTTCGTTCAATTTCGCGTACCCTTGGGAGTACGTGTACCACTAATTGGGAACCACTGACTTAGATCAAATGGAAGTCTGGATTGTGTAACTGAATGCCCAGTAAGTAAAAGTTGCAAGTTTGAGTCCAACTCCATATTGATGTTTTCTTCCAAAATATTCAAAATTAATTAATTCAATTCTAATAATTATTAAATTTAATATAAGATAGAAACTTAATCATATCCCTTTAGTCAAAATTACTTTATATGTTTAGCCAAATTATAGTCCAATGAATCTGGCATTATCACTTAATCAATTACATCAACTATTTGCATTTATAACATTAAAAATACAAAAAAACAATAATTATCACTCATATTAGATGATGATAATAAACTTACAGGTGTGGGTCGATTTCCAAGAAAATTTAAATCCATATTTTCTCCAAAGAGATATGCTTCTGGTTGGGTTGTTTCAAATCTTTCACCACCCATAATAAAATGGCTAGCAAAATAATTTCCTATTTAAAATAAATTTTTATTAAAATAATTCCAGTTAAAATTATTACCGTAGATAAATTTATTATTTTAATAAAGAAAAAGAATTAGAAACAAATTTGTGAAATTAAAAATATCATTTACAAGATTATAAATCACAACACACACAGTACTTCATTGTGATTAAAACTAAATTTAAATTTTTAAATATTTTTATATTCACATTTGTTAGGATCAAGAAGTCATCCTGTAGAATTCATCTACAAAAGTTTAAGATTTTAAAAAATGTTTGGAGCATCGAATGCAAAATGGAAAAATGTGGGTGCAAGAAGATTTAAAAAAAAAACAGTAGTTTGATGGAATAAATGTTGGTTTCAGAATGTGGAGTCAAATAACTTAGAGTTGTGTTGGTTTTGGAGAAATAGGAGAGGATAGTTTTCTTCTGATAGCTGAAGTTTTGTCAAGACACAGTGGATAAATGTAAATCACAAGTCAAGTTGAAATGCAGTTTGGATATCATAGGCAAATATTCTAATTGTCCAAAGTGTTGTTTGAGATAAAATGACAATAGTCACCCCTTGTAAATATATATATATCAAAACTATAGTGTATTTTCTTGCTGTACATATAATTGTGGAACCTTTGTGGAATTAAATGAACATTTGTGTCATGTTTTCAGTCATCAGAGGCTGAATTCATTTTTATTTTCATTCTTCAAAAACAAAACTATATTATATAAGTATAAATCTATAATCTGTCTAACATAATAATTAATATAAAAAAATAAATTATAGTCAAATGTACTGTTTTAATAGAGTCAAACTAAATTATGTAAGAAAAATATTCTGAGTGCTCTCAAATAATCCATCTTCAGGAATGTTCCAGTTTAACATACTTATTAAGGAGGCAGCAAATTTCTATATTGAAACATTTCTGAAGACTTTATCATTTGTTTTAAAAGCATTTAAATGTTTTTCTTATTATTTAAAGTTTTTTGATTATATTAAAGTACTTTATGGTTTATTTTTCTACAGTTTAGTATGTTTTGATAATTATTATTAATCAAAAGAAAAAGATTATTAGGATAACATGCATAAAGTTGAAAATTTAATGCATTGTTACTAAAATAAATTTAAAACATGTAAAAATACTTAAGAAAATTTTTAAAATTTTATATTTCAGGCAAAAATCAATTAGGTTTAACAGTCCATTAAAGAACCTATAGAAATAAAGTTAATTTTATAAGATTATCAAAACACACCTTATGTTGCTGAGATAATTTATTGAAAACAAACTAAGTCATGAAGGAATTATAAGATTTGAGGAAAATATTTGAAGATTCTGCCATTTTTATTCAATACAGTACAAAATACCACTATCATTAACATATTATAACTATTAAGATTAAGACATATCATTGATTAAAACAATGGGAAACTATACAAAAAATGGAAAAGCTGAAGTTCTTTCTATTCTAAGTTTTCCTACAGATTTCTGAATACTAGAAATTTCGAAACAGGAAGTAAGGTCATTTTTTGGTATCTATTTTTCATTTCTGCAGTATTTTCTAGTAATGTGAAAATGAACACTCAGAGGTAAAACATAGTAATTTCAGTTTATAATTATAGCATATTCTATAATCCTGTGACCATTCCTGAAGATAGAGGAAAGTCCAAAAGCACTATAATTTAACTATATAGAGGACTGCATTCATGATTTTAATATTTATCTTTCAGTATAAGCTGCTTTTTTTATAAATACTTATATTCAGCAGTATTCTTTTTCTTTACCGATGTCTAAGTGTCTACTAAACTTCACTTTCTGAAACAAAAGAATATATTTTAATAAAATGTCTAAATGTCAAGATTTTCTAAGTTATAACCCCGAAATTTGGGTTATAACAAGGGTGAGCAACCTTTTTAATCAACGGGCCAATTTAAATTTTAAAATTTTTTGGCGGGCCGCACATAAAGTAACACTTATTAATAATTTACAAAACTTTATTTATAATAAACATTAGAATAAAAAAATATAAAATTTAAAAAAAGTAAAGATTTCATATACAAATTTTAATGCAAAATAAAAACAAACAAGAAAAGAACAGAAAAACGAATTTACTTGAAATTTTTAATGAGAAATTTGGCACTGTTTTTTCGATACAAGCTGATCAATATCAGCCGGAATTGATGAGGTAGCTACACGTACGCAGCTTTCTAATCGTGCATCACTCAGTCTTGATCGGTGGTCATTTTTGATTAATTTCATGGTTGAAAATAATTGTTCGCAAACATACGTACTTCCGAACAGAGACATCATTTGCTTTGCATTTTTCGTCAAAAGCGGAAATTTCTCAGGGCTCACATAAGATTTATAAAAATTTTCGATGTTTACTGAGAAAAATACATTTTTTAAATCGGTATTATTCTGCATGTCAATCACTTCCATTTGAAAGTCTTCGGGAACTGTATCCACATCGATATTAAATGGCGAGGAAAACATTTTCATGGAAACCGCTGTCTTCTCAGCTTTGAACATTTGGAATCGTAATTGAAATTCGTTGATTAAAATGTCTATATATTGTGCGTATTTTTGAGAAGTAGTAACGTTTTCTTTTTCTAAATGTGGAAAGTGAGACACATTATTCTGCAAAAGATGCTGTTTCCACAATTTTAATTTGCGCTCAAAGCCCTGAATTTTATCATACAAATTGTGAATAAACTGTCCTTTGCCTTGAAGTTCCACATTAAGATCATTGAGATGCTGAGTCATGTCGATAAGAAACCCAAAATCGCACATCCATTCTTTATTACCAAAATGAGGAAAGGCATATCCCTTCATATCCAAGAACAATTGTATTTCGCTTTTTAAGTTGTATACTCTTTTTAGCATTGCACCTCTACTAAGCCAACGTACTTCGGTATTAAAAACCACGTCGCCATATTCAGTTTCTAAATCTTTCAGGAATTCTTTAAATTCACGGTGATTTAACGCGCGCGACTTTATAAAATTGATTAGTTTAATTATTGGTACTGTGACATTTGGCAAACTCAATCTTTTCGCACACAAATTTTCCTGGTGAATTATGCAGTGGTTAACGAATATTTCCCTTCCTGTGACCTTCTTAATGTCTTGAAATAGCCTTCCCGATACTCCTACCTCCATGCTTGACATTGCTCGTGCTCCATCTGTCGATATACCAATAATCTTTTCTAATGAAATTGAAAAATTTTCCAACACAGACTTTAGTTCATCGTACAGGTCTTTGCCGGTTGTAGTCCCTTGCATTGGAATCAGTGAACACAATTCTTCGGTAATATTAAATTTGGTGTCAATACCACGTAAAAATATAGCCAGTTGTGCTGTATCGCTAATATCGCAACTCTCATCAAGTGCCAAAGAACAGTATTCGAATTTTGCAATGCGTTCACGAAGCGTTGTTGCTATGTTCTCGGACAAGTCTTCAATTCTCCTTGCAATGGTGAATCTTGATAAACTAATGTTTGAAATAATATTTATTTTATCAGGAAATGCTATTTCTGCAACAGCAGTCAGACATTCTTTTATCATCTCTCCATCCGCAAAGGGTTTCATTTTTTTTGCCAGTATTTGACTGACAACAAAACTAGCCTTTACTGCCGTATTTGATAAAATAGCTTGATTTTTAAAAATAGCCTGTTGTTTTCCCAAGTTTTTCTCCATTTGATTAAACTTATCTATCCGGAGTTGTCCTGTTAAGTTTTTATATTGTTGTTCATGTTTTGTATCGTAATGCCTTTTTATGTTATATTCTTTTAATGTCGACACAGTCTCTGAGCATATTAAGCATACAGCTTTATCTTCGACGAAAGTGAAAAAATAATCAAATTTCCACTTTTCTTGGAAATGCCTGTGCTCATCCGCAACCTTCCGTTTTTTTGTTTGCTTTTCCGACATGCTATTATGGATTAAAAATTTGAAAGTTAAAAAAATTTGTAGGAAAACTTAATTTTGAATAAAAAAAACTCTAATATTACCTTTTTGACAATAATATTGCACTCACACCTTTCAAGAAACACAAGAATTGCTAAAATTGCTAGTTAACAGCTTACCAGTCTGACTGATTGTGTGACAGAAGCAAACACAAACAAGCACAGATGCGGCGCGTTCGTATTGCATGATTGAACAAGTCGCCGACAAGTGTGTATCTCAGTCACAAAAAATTGTTTCGGTTTAGTATGTACTACCATTTTATTATAATCAATTTTATAACAATATATTGATGGGAGAAAGTCGATAAAATAAATTCAATTTTAAAAATGCTTGGCGGGCCGCACAAACATGTTTTAACGGGCCGCAAGCGGCCCGCGTGTTGCTCATCCCTGGGTTATAACTTCACTAAACTTTAATTTAGAAATTTAATGTAAAGATAGGTGGTTTGGCCATCCTATTGTATTATTCTTGATATTTAACTTAAATCTTTTTCTTTAGAACATTCTAAATTATATAAGCTTTGAAGATTCTCAGAATTGGATCTGAACTTTCAACCTTAAGTTTAGCCAATTTAAAAATTGTCATCATGATCATAATCACCATTGTCTAATGATACTGAAGAAACAACAGATACAAGACACCAAATTAAAATGCATTTCCCATTTTTTGATGAAAGTTAGCTTAATTTTATATAAATTTTTTTCTTCTTTAAAGGTCCAATATGGTTTGTTTTTTCTTTGTTTCTTTCATTCAGAATTTCTTGGCATGAAAACAAGCATTTCATCATCTACCATGGTGCCAAGGAATTGTAATCCATGTTTGAATTACTTCTTTAAATACACTAGCACTACTAGTTTTGAAATACATATGCAATTGTTAATGAATTTTTAAAAATCTTTGGAACTTTTATAATTACAAATTTACATAAAACATGACTGTTTTGTATATCATCAGCTATGCTATTTAAACATCTCAAGTTAGTCTTTTATAATATATTGATTTAATTATACATAAAAAGCATGCACTTGTTTTATTATGCTTGTTCCTACAGTAA